AAGGCTATCTTTGTTATAAAGTGGCAAAGAACTTGGCTGAATTGTGTCTGCATTCTAGTGCTCCATGGAGGGCAGAATTTAAGAGTGATATACTAGGATATTTGGTGAAAGAAATCTCTAAGCAAAGTGTTCAAGGTACTACATGGCTTTTCTTGACTGTTTATCATAAAATGCAAGAGAAGAGAAATGAATTAAAAATGAATTTACAATAAAAAGGGAAGTAGAACTGAAAGATATGGAAAATTTTCAGTCTTTCCAGGTTGTAAAGGTTCAAAGGGCATCCTCTGAATAGTAATTGCAAATGAATATTCAGAGACTACCAAGGGCATGGCTAAGCAAACATAACGTTTGATATGATATTAGTGTGGCTATAAGGAAGCCAGACGCTATTTATCTGGACAATAGAAGAATGATTCCAGGGGCATTTCAATCTTTGAGGCTGCCGCTCCCATCATGATCCCAGAGTACCAGGGCCTTCAAGTCAGAAAGGTTTCAAGGGAGGGGCCCAGGGCACCTGTGGCACCTCAGGGCTCACTGCCTGCGGCCTCCTCAGATATTTGTTCCCCGCATTCTAACACAGTGCTTTTAAGCTGCTCCAGCTGGGGCTCAAGTGGGCTCAGATGTGGCTTGGGCCACCCTTCTGAAAGGTACAAGTAATAAGCCTTGATGACATTCTTGGAGTGCCAACTCTGCATTTATATAGAGTGTATGAGCTGTGGAGTCATGGCTATCTCCATGTAGATTTCAAAAGATGTCTTGGAGAGCCCAGAGCCCAGAGCACTGTCCCAAAGGTGAGACAGGTGCAGAGGGTGCCTACTAGGGTAATGACCAGCAGAGCTGTGGGGTCAGGGTTGCCCCCGAGATCCCAAACTGGTAGAGCCACCAGTGTGCAATGCCAGCCTAGGAGAGCTACAGGCACTAGACTCCAACTTGTGAGAGCTACAGCATGGGCTGTGCCCAGCAAAGCCATGGGGGTAGGGCTGGTTGGACCCTTGGATGTCCAACCCTTGCCCCAGTGTGTACGGAAGGATGAACATGGACTCAAAAAAGACCATTCTCAAACCTCAAGATTTAACAGTTTGCCTTGTTGGGTTTTGGACTTCCATGGGGCCTGTGACACTTTCTTCTTGCCCATTTCTCCCTTCCTGAATGGGAATGTTATCCTATGCCTGTACCACTACCGTATTTTGGAAGCACATCACTTGTTTGATTTCATAGGCTCAGAGCTGGAGGAGTTTGCCTTAGGATGGATTGTACCTTCAGTCTCAGCTGTATCTGGTATAGATCATGTTTAAATGAGACCTTGGACTTAAGACTTTAAAGTTAATGCTGGAACACGTTAAGAATTTTGGCAATAAGTTATCAATTTTGGGATGAATTTTGTATAGGAGGACATGAATTTCGAGGGGGCAGGGGAAGAATGCTATGGTTTGACTGTATCCTCCCAAGAATTCATGTTGAAAGTTAATTCTCAATCCAACAGTATTAAGAGGTGGGGCCTTTCGGAGGTGATTAGGCTGTAAGGGCTGTGATCTCATAAGTGGGATTAGCGGCTTGTAAAAGGGCTGGAGGGAATTAGCTGGGCCCTTTTCTCCATCCAGCTCTTCAGCCATGTGTGGACACAGTGTTCCTCTCCCCTAGAGGATGCAGAAACGAGGCACCATCTTGGAAGCAGAGACTCTGCCTTCACCTGCTGGTGCCTTGATCTTGAACTTTCCAGCCTCCAGAACTGTGATAAATACATTGCTATTGTTTAGATGTTACTGAGAATTAAGGCGTTTTGTTATAGCAGCCTGAAATGGACTGTGACAGTATCTATTGCTATTCATTTGCAATTACTATTACTATCCTTGATACTTTAACAAGTGTGTTTGAATTAAATTCCAAAGTTAATCACCATTTCCACCCTTTTCTGGAGTCTTACTCTCATCCTTTATCTTTCCCACTTTCTTGCTGGTCTCTACTCTTCCTTCAACTCTCATCTCAAATGCTACTTTTTCAGTGATGCCTCTCCCATTCCCCAGACTAAACCAGACACTCATATATTTGTCCTTCATAGCATGTATCAGGGTTTAGAATTACATACTTGTGGGTTCCATAACTCAGTAAGCTGTAACTCGGTAAGCTGTAACTTCTGAAAGGGCAGGGATCGCCTCTGTGTGTCTTTTCATTCTATTTTGAATGTGCAGCCGTACGTCTGGCACATGGTGTGCAACAAGCTTGGTTGCAGATGGGAAAGCCGGGTGGGAGAAAGAGGGAGGGGCACTGGCTGCACAGGCCGCAATGTTGAGGGATGAAGCTTCAGGGCTGCCAGACCTGGAGTTACTGAATTCCCTCCATCAGTAAGGAATCACATTCTCCTGCTAAAAACAGAACAGAAACAATGATGGCTAAAGCAAAACAGAAAGTTCTTTCTTTCTCAGGTCATGAAGTCTGGGGTTAGGTAATTCAGGGCTGAGGCAGGGGCTCTATGGAGTCACAAGGGATTTAGGCTACTTTTTACACCATTATCCTTGGCTCATAACTTATATCCTCAAGAGTCTAAACTGGTGCCTGGCATTTCATTTTTTGTTTGTTTGTTTTGGGACAGAGTCTCCCTCTGTCACCCAGGCTGGAGTGCAGTGGCATGATCTTGGCTCATTGCAACCTCCTCCTCCCTGGTTCAAGAGATTCTCCTGCCTCAGCCTCCCGAGTAGCTAGGACTACAGGTGCGTGTCACCATGCCTGGCTAATTTTTATATTTTTAGTAGAGATGGGGTTTCACCATGTTGGTCAGGCTGGTCCCAAACTCCTGACCTCAGGTGATCTACCCACCTCGACCTCCCAAAGTGCTGGGATTACAGGCATGAACCATTGCACCCGACAAGTGCCTGGTATTTCCACCATCACAATCAACTTCCAGGTGGGAATCCAGACCTAGGAGAGAAGGACAGGAAAGATTATGCCCATTTAGTTGTCTGCTCCCTTTTACAAAGCCTGTCTTAGAATCCTACTCCACTTACATCTTATGGGTTATGGCTGAGTTCTATGGCCTCACCTAGCTGCAAGGGAGATTTTTTTTTAAAGCCAAGTGGTTTCCAATTCAAATAAAATCAGGTCTGTGTTATTAAGGGTAATGATGATAATGACGTGTGTGTGAGGGGTGGGTGTGATGCTGCTGACTGGGGAATGATCACTGGAACTGGAGTCAGGGAGACAGTAAGAGGAGGTGTTGGGATTTTGGGTGAGAGACACTGACACTGTGAATTATGGCAACGAGACTGGAATGGAAAGGAGGGTCTGAAACAGCACTTGATGGAGGGCCCACTGGATCCTTGATGGCTCTTCTTTCTACGGATTTGCTTCAGGAGACATTTTACTTTTGGGTTTAATTTCACTTAATAAATCATCTTTTCATTAACTCAAGGTTATTTTGAGTTAATCTCTCTGGTAAATAATGAAATAAACTAAGGCAGAGTAATCTGTGCTTCTAAATCTAAGCAGGGTGAATATTATTTTTGAAAACATATTTCCAAAGGTACTTATTTTTCCCCAAAGCTCTATTTTCAAAGGCAGAGGAACAGAGAGGACATTGATTAATAAGTATAAAACATATCTTTTTTTAAAAAAATGTATAGCCATTCTTTGCTTACAGACATTCAAGATATATACAAGACTCAATGTCAGAAAATAACAGCCTGGAAACCATCCCGAGGCTTTATCTCCATGCCACAAGCTATCTGTATTTTCTTCAGATAGTCCAAAAATCTTTTAAACTTAGCATTTTCTTTCTCTTCTCCCCAGACCATACTTATAAAAGATGACTTGGGCTTTTTCGACACACCAATTTTGTTTAAGCAAATTGAGTTGCTAGACAATATATCCAGAAATTTAACCAAGAGGACAAGGCAAAACACTTTCAGACTTCTAGAATCCTTTAATTTTCTGCACACATAGCTAAAGTAAAGCACAGTATCTTATTAAAAGGCCCGTACTGAAAGAAGAATCAGTAAACTCTTCTTAAGAAAAAAAATAAACAGGGAAAACGACACCTACCCTCCCCCAGCTGCTCCTGCGAGTCAGCACATCTTGTTAATTGTGTGGTCTGCTTGTTGTATCCTTGAGTCATTGCTTTACCCAGGCCGCTTCCTTGAACGTGGCTGTGAGGTGCGGAAATGTGGTTCTTCCGTGAGAAATGGGTTCCAGAGAGCTCAAAGATGAGCCGAGTTTGCCTGGGTTAGGTGAGGTCCAGGTCATGCTGTGCCAACCTCTGGGAACATATGGCAGTGGCAAAGTGCAACCCTCTGACCAGACATGGGCTGTGTGAGGCAGGCCTTGGTGGACTTGAGTAGAAGCTCAGACTGCAGAGCCGGGCACATGATGGGGTCCCAGGCTGTGCCTGGAGGAGCAGACTGACGTGGCCCTTCAGTTTAAGGGCCAGGAAACTGCACGTGCTATGCACATTTGTGCTCACTCTCATCTGCGCCTCAAGTATTTTCTATCTGTCTAAGGTTCTGGGTGGCTCTTTTTAAATAAAACTAGTCTGCTTAACTTTGCCAATAGAGTGGGCTGCTACACTAAAGAGGAATGCGTGTTTCTTGGGGTAAGAGAACCCTAAAGACCTAAAGAAAATCCAAGTGTAGGGGCTATTTCCCTTAAATCTCCCCACTTGTAGATTCCTAATCCATCAAAAGAATCTGACAAAAGAAACCTGTTTGGGTGCAACCCAGCCTCACCTGTACCCATAATCATGTTTTCCCGATACTTTGAAGTAGGTGAGCAATAAAGCAGCACTAGGCAGTCTTAGTGAGACATCAAACTTCACATCTTTGTACCAATGTTTAGCATTAGGAAAAAGACCGATGGGACTGATCAGACGATCTTTTCGTTTCTTCAGTTCTTAAACGTCACGGATCTAAAAGAATGAAGATGGGTAAAAAGAGAACGCTCATGGAGGATGATTGTAATGTGTCTCATTGGCAGGAAAATCCAGTTAAGATGTAAATGTCAAGAGGCCACGATTTCTGGATTGAGGTTTTTTCTATAATTTTAATACAGTCTTACCACATCTTAAATACCACAGATACCTGGCTTTCCTTGAAGGTCACTCATGGCCCACAGTCATGTCCTGATTTCTTCCAGGTGATGTTCTTTCCAGAAAGTCCCCTCCCTGTTCCTCTGGTCTGAGATGGCAGCTTAGGGATGTGGCTGAAATTCAAGCACTAGGGAGGGAAGTAAAGACAAGACAAAATTGGTCAATTAGTACAGAAACGTAAGTGATCTTTCATAGTTCCGAACAGAAGTGAGGTGAATCAGGAAATGGATGGCGTTTTTCAAGTCACATGAATCAGCGCCCCAGAATTCATCATTTTCACCAAGTGTTTTGTTGGTTTCCTCATTCTTTCACATTGTGTGCATGGCTCACCTAAAACAGTTTAGGGAAAGCTGTATTTTATTTTGAAAAGAAGAGAACTAAATATTTTTGTTTGTTTGTTTAAAAATGATCATCCTTAGTTTTATGTGATGAGAAGCAGCGTAATGCAGATAGCTTTCTAGCAAGCAATACCTTTACAAAGAAAAAAAAAAAAGAAAAATTTTGTTTAGAAAAAAGAAATACTTGTATATACTTCAAAATGACTTTGTTTATGGAAAGCCTGCTTATATGTTGGGGGCTGGGTGAGTATTTTACACAGATTACTGTCTTTCTCCTTTCAAGCAGACAACGGACATACCCCTGCCAGGCTGGTGTGTCTAAGCTCCTGGTGAAGAGACTGTAGCTGAGAAAAGGTAAAGAACTTTCCCCATGTTGGCCGGGCGCGGTGGCTCACGCCTGTAATCCCAGCACTTTGGGAGGCCGAGGCGGGCAGGTCACGAGGTCAGGAGATCCAGACCATCCTGGCCAACATGGTGAAACCCTGTCTCTACTAAAAATACAAAAAAAAAAAAAAAAAAAAAAAAAGCCCAGAGTGGTGGCGGGTGCCTGTAGTCCCAGCTATTTAGGAGGCTGAGGCAGGAGAATGGCGTGACCCCGGGAGGCAGAGCTTGCAGTGAGCCGAGATCGCGCCACTGTACTCCAGTCTGGGCGACAGAGCAAGACTCCGTCTCAAAAAAATAAATAAATAAAAAGAACTTTCCCCAGGTTAAAACTCAAAATTACATCCTCAATTTAGATCCATTTCACTTTAAACAAAGGATGCACTCTAAATTATAATTTGGTTTATTTACCTGCTTATTAGCAATTATTTTGTAATTATCACTAAAATATACATCTTTTAACAGTGCATTGGTGCAGCCTGTAAACAGCAAAACTGAATTCAACTCTCCCCCTACATACACACAAAATTACAGAATTTATCCAGTTAAGTGTTATGTTATCAGACCTATTGGGTTATGCTGTAGAAAGCTATCTTCTTCCCACTGCTTAGCTCTATATGCCAAGAATTTTTTCTTTTTTTTTTTTCTTTTAAAGTATTAACTGCAATGTTCAGAGGCAAGAAGAGGATTAGCTGAATACATTGGGTTCTAATTTCTGTCTCCTTCACCCTGGCCACATAGGCTCCACAGGTCCGTGAAAGGCTGCAGAATCCAAGCAGAAGGCAGCTTCCTCCCTACATCTTCCCCACTAGAAGCAGCCAGGCAAGACCTTGGCCTGCCTCTTCCTCACAGGGAGGCTCCTAGGCCTCTGTGCCACGTAGGCAAGAGAATCGGAATGTCTGGAATGGAGCTAGTGTCTTAAGTGCCAAGCAAGGGAAGGGAGAACGGTTAAGCTTTTCATTCAGGTCCCCAGGAGCCTGCAGCTGCCACACAGCAGGCCAGGAGCCCCCGCCACAACCCAGGGAGAAATGCTTGCCAAGGAGGCCTGCTGGCTACTGACACTTCCTCCTAGAGGCCTTAAAGGAAATCCCAGTAAGGGCTGAGTACCCAAGACAGCCAGATCACACGTGCCAGAAACTGAGCATTTGGGGATGCGCTGGGCTTTCATAGAAACCTTCGGAACTGCTTTCACTTAACTCTTTTATTAAAAAATAAGTTCTAGAAAATAGACACATCGATGGCAATTTGTATTTCCATTGTCCTCTCAGGTCTGCATGGCTACTGTGCGAGAGCTATGACACCCTGCAGCCTGCAATAGCGTCTTTGTTTTATTGATGAGCTCAATGGAACCCTTACGGACGCGCCGGACCATGCCCAGGACCAGCGAGGCCCATCCATAACCCACCACTGGCTGGAAGGGCGCTGGTGTGAACACGGGTCCTTACGGGGTCCCTACCTCACCGCGGTTAGGAGAGGGCAATTCACGCGTTTCTTCATGCAGGGACCTTCAAGCCTCCCTCTGAGGTGCAGATGGAGAAAAAAGGGCCCAGAGATACTGTCCCGCACCCCCATCCAGCGGGAAAGGGCCACTCAAGGCCAGTCAGGACTCCGCACCCAAGTTTTATACCTTATACTCCTATAACTTTACCATTTGCTCTTTTCGCGAGGCTGGCCCCCTCCCTCTCTCCCCCACCGCCTGCTTCAGAAGCTGAAAAGCTGCAACAAAGTATCCAATTATACACGTCTTCAAAGGTACTTCACTTGCTTTCCAACTATCAACTTTTCACCTGAGTACTTAGTAAGGCCCAAAGATCCTGCAAAAGTGCAACAAGAAATATTCGGCTCAGAATTGGACGAATGACTGACCATACGGGACTTCTCTCTTAACGCTCAGCGTGGCTACCTGGGGACCCCTTCACCTGCCTCCCTGATTCGTCAGATTTGTTCATTTCCTGGACTTCAACCTTCTGAAATCGACCCAAACTAGCCGGGAGGCTCACCCCCAAAGGGCTCCTCCAAGAACCCGCAACGACTGACTCTCTCGTCTTCTTTAAGGAGTTTCACTCTCAGAACGGATGAGGGTGTCACACAGAAAGAACAAAATCACAAAGTTCGAGTTCCGGAGGACCAGACGGCCCCTGCCCCCCAACCCCAGGGCCAGATTCAGCCGAGGGAAGAGCACGTACCTGGAGCCGAGGCCGGCAGAGCGGCATCGCCACGTCTCAGGTCTCGGCCGGCGCCCC